TTCTTTCTGTCTTTCTTGGTCTGTCTTTTAATGGTTCTTATAGTCTAATCCTTTTTCTCTGAATGTAGTTCTTTATTAACTTTCCTGTTTTTTATTACCCTAGTTCTAGTGCTCTAGGTTTGTGTTTTTCAACTTTTTTTTTTCATCTGTTTATTTCCTTTTCTTTCAGTCTTTGAATCCTGTATGTTTTTCACTCAGGACTTACCTTGATTTGATTGGCTGATCTTTTTTTCTTTAACAGCTTCCTCTCTCATTTATCTCTATTTTTGTCATACTTTTGTATCAGAAGTTTATGCTCTTTTGTTCAAGGATGCATCATCATTGTGTTGAAATATTTTTCTTTGAGTTTCTTATCATTCGTTGTTTTTAAAATATCACGTGACTGAGATTTCTTGATTGAATTGTCTTAGTTAAACAAGCTTTTGGTCATCTTTTATTCTGGATATTTTAACCCTACATGCATGGGTGGGAACATAGTGTTCCTTACATGACCTTTTACAGAGTTACATTCAAAATTTAACTAAACAACCTAATTATTAATGTATGTCTATAAACTTTGCATACAAATGCTGCTTATAATTTAAATTTTAATGTAAGTTTTTTTATTTTAAAAGGAAGTATTGAAATACATTCTCAATCTTCACTTTTATGTATCATGTAACACTTCTTTTCTTCAAATTGCCATTTGAAAGTGACTTACGATGCTTGAAAAGTGCCCATTTTGTCAATGTCCTCTGCACATTACTGGTTTTACAGATGATCCAGTAAGAAGTAGATGTTTTTAGCATGAAAAGTTGTGCTTCTTGCTGTTAGATCCCCCATTTTATTGCAGAAATTTGTACTAATGACAATAAAAACTTCCACAGTTCACTTACCCAACATCCTTAACAGGAGAGTGCTTTTTCAGATTTGCCATTTCTTATTTTAGGGGGATTACGGTCCTCAAAGTAGACTAAATTACAAAAAAGGAAAAGCATTTGAGGTAATTGATAAAGAAAAAAAAAACACATTAAAAAACTATGTTCACATGAATTAAATCAACCCCTTCGTAGTTTCACTTGTGTGAAACTGATGAAAATGGCAGAAAATGCTCTTTAATTTGTTTACTTTTTTCATATATTACTGATGCTTGCAGCACTTCAGAAAGCAGGAAAGAACATGGAGCACAGTATCATTGGAGCTTACATTGCCATACTTCTTGGGTGTACTATTCAAAATAATGAGGTATGTCTTGCTTTATCATTAGAGGTTCTGATATTACTTGCATTAGTCTGTGGAACTCTTTTTGTAAGTCTATAATCTAAAACTGTCTCCTCCAAAAAACTGTTTAGTATTGTAAGAAAGCAATATATTAATGTTGTTTTTTAAATAATGAATTGTTAATGTTAAGATAATTAATTTTGGATCTGGGAAGCTCTTAATATTTTAACTTGAAAACTTATTACCAATTGGCCGAAAATCTGTGGTAAAAATCACATTAACTGCAGATGTTTTTGTTTTTTTCAGTTTCTCTTAATTTGTTCATTGTGGATTCAAATTATATAATGTGTATAATTACTCCAGCAGAGAAAAGTATATTACTGTCATAGGGAAAAGTTATAATGATATAAATGTATTACATTTGAAAATGATTAGATATGTCAAATATTTTGTTGTTTTTTATAAAAGATTACATAGGCTGAGTTTGGTTTTTAAAGTAATTAGCTTTACGTACTTGGTTTGCTTTAGAGTGACCATCATAGTACATAGATTTGAATTGAAAACCCTGAGTGACCTCAGAAAATTAGTCTTAGTTTACTGAGAAAATAATGACAATTGGAGGACTGATCAATGAACAAATATGTTTTTCTTTATATATATGCTAAATATGCTTATACTCTACATTAAACAACCAGAATAACCAGCAGTGTAGAGAGAAGATTAGTTTTATATAGTCCAAATCTCCTTATATCCTATTTAAATAACCATTATAACTGCCATTTGTGGGGGAAAGGATTATCTCTGTATAATTCACAGTTATTTGTATCATACTTAAGTAAAGTAACAAGAATAACTACCATGGCGGGAGGGGGGGTGTGTGAAATTAGCCTTACATAATACAAATATAATTATTATTATGATAATCCAAGTTTTATTGTAATGTGCAAAAAGAGATGCTTATATTTTCAGAATTTATTTAACTTCAATCGGTATTCTTGTTGCATGAAAAGCTTTCCATGCTACCTGAAATTTATACTTAAAGGTTTTGAAACATAAGCTTAACAATCGTTCATAGACTGCTTTCTTTTATCAAGTTGATATCTAATTCGGAGGATCTGTTTCAGAACTATGCCGACCTTCTAAAAAGCCACATGCCACAAGAAAATTTCACTGTTATGGTAGAGGTTCTGAGAAAATTCTATAATTTTGTCAATTTGACTGTAAGTATTGTTGTTGTTGTTGTTGTTTTGCTTTTTGTTTAGTAATTATAAGATGGGATTGTATTACCTACAGTAGCAGTAGCAAAATTAGATCGTGTAATTATTAATATGTTATTTGGGACAATCCACAGAATAGGACAGTATGTTTTAGTAGTATTTACAATATAGGGCAATATATTTTAGTTCCCTTTTACCATACAGGACAGTGTGTGTTAATTGTACTTATAATATATCACAATATGTTTCAATGTTACCACAATGGGACAATACTTTATTACTTACTATGACAATATGTTTTAGTATTACCATAATGAAATGGTAATTTATTACTTGCTATGACAATATGCTTTAGTGTTATCATAATTACTTGTTTTGATAATGGTCAATATTTTAAAAGTAAACTTGATAATGGGGTGTGTATTTCGTTACATGTTGCATGGTGATTCAGTATTAATGTGATGGGGCCAGTATTTTGTTATGTGTTACATGGTGATTCAGTATTAACGTGATGGGGCCAGTATTTTGTTACATGTTGCATGGTGATTCAGTATTAACGTGATGGGACCAGTATTTTGTTACATGTTGCATGGTGATTCAGTATTAATGTGATGGGGCCAGTATTTTGTTATGTGTTACATCCTGATTCAGTATTTGCAATTTACAGTTTGTAATTCATAGATGTTGATCTGAAATGATTGGCAATGTGAGGTGTTCTAGAGTGAAACTTCTATTGTATTGCTGCAAACTTAGTTTAGAGCATTGTGAAATCATCAAGTATTAAAAAAATTATTACTTTATAGAAATGAAAAAGATTTATCTTTGAATTGTGTAATAACTACAAAGAGGTTAAAGGTTAAATCCCTCCCATGCTGTTAAGGCACATAGGACCTGGTGCTGAACTTGGTTTAATTGGTACAAGTGGATAAGAATGTAAACAGTCACGCCTAGTTACACTTTAATAGTGCTTATGTGAGAATTTGCTATTTCTTTCCAGGGGGTGGTGGGAAATACAGGTATCAAATCTATACAACGAGTGATCAGTGTACTAGAAAGAAGCTGACTGATGAAAGTTTAACAAACCAACAAGATGAATGGGACATCTGCCAGAGTGCTATCACTAAATCATGTACAACCTACCAAAGAGCCACACTGTTGTCTTTAGACGTTGTTGAAATGTTTTCGGATTGCCTGGCTTGATGTCCTGCCTCCGCTTTGCACAGTTATTCACAGTTGCATTTCCATATCTCATCCCTGTCTTCAATCAGAGTTAGACAGCCACAAGGAACAATGCTCACTAAGCAATCATTTTCTTTCATATTTCATATTGTCCAAAATTCAGATCCTGATGTGGACAGATCAGCAAGTAATCACCTGTACCTTTCTAATAGTTGTTAATTTGCGCACTGAGGCTGATTTTGTTCAATTTATGAGCTCTTGCAGTATGTAGTTCTTTTATGTATAACGTAATTCCTCTGCTGCTCAGAAGATATATGTTTTATTCATAAGAACTATCTTGGATTTTATATTCTTTTTTTTTTTCAACGTCGTGAATAAATTTAGTAAATAGAATAATTACTTGAAGTTAGTATATTGTCAAATGACTTAGTGTTTTTACAGAATTTACTCTGATGAAAAATTTGTAAAGTTTGTAAATACTAAAGTGTAATATTATGAAACATTTTACAATGTTTGATACATGGGAACAGTTTCATTGGTGTAAATGAAGGTAATGGTATATGTGTGCGTGTGTATTCATAAAAACAAGCTGTATTAGGCCTAGAAGTTAGCTTGAATGTTCCTTTTAGTAATGTGATTTTTTTGTTTCTTTCTTTAATATATTTATCTTTGAGATTTGCACTGTATTTATAGTGCTCTTTTAAAGAATAATGTTTGTTTAGTAGTCTAAAGAAACTACCTGATGAGAGTCGATATATATCTTTTTGGGGGTTACATTAGAGTTGTTTGTTTTGAAAGCTAACGACGTACAACTGTAATACCCAAGAATAGAAGTTAGTGTCTTAGTTTTCAAATAAACTGTATAAATATTTTTTTAAATTAAATCTAGAAACTTTTAGCTGAACAGGTATTGTGTTGTCACTCTTTCTTCTTCTCTTTTGATTGAAAAAAAAAATTTACATTTCTGTTTACGTGGTGTTGTTTGGTTGATTTTATTTTTAGTGTGTCTCAGATATACAGAACATGATTAAAGAAAAGTATTAATGTAATTTTTGTTTTCTTCAATCTTCAATTGTAGTACATCAGGATTAAATGGGATCAAAAGTGTTAACTTTATTTAGTGATCTCTTTATTTCCCATTCTTAGTTTGAAGGATTGCTGGCAACAGATTCATGATGGGGAAAACGAAGTCTGATAATAAAAAAAAGGGAAGAAGGTTCACAAGACACTAAACATTTTCATTTACAGAAGCTTCAAATGTTTTGAAATATACTTTTTTTATGTTCATTGAAATCTGAGAATAGTATTATAACGATATAGCACTAGTTAATAAATATGATTATAATATTATTTCGAGATTTCACTAAAGATGAAATAAGTGAATTCCAAAACAGCAAAGCTTCTCTAATCAAAAATGTTTTGTCTTGTTCATCATCTTTATTATTAAAAGGTTTCTGTTTTTTATGTATGCTGTTTCTTATGTGTAGTGGAGAAAACTAGAAACTTGTGTCATTTAAGTTTACCAAAATTAATGTTTAAACTGCTGCTGTATAAAAAATCAGACTTTTTTTTAGCTTATCTAAACTACTGATAATTTTTTGTGCTTAAATTATGAAACTATGACATTTTGCTTGTATATGTTGATGAGGACTTTAAAGAATGAGTTAATCAAATGGACCACACAAGTTTTTCTTGTAATTCAAAATTGATGTAGTACATGGAAAATCTTGTCATTATAAAATTAATTAATTTTGGTGATAAAACATGGTGAAGATTAGCAGAACAAGTTTTTTTTTTCTGAAAATATGCTCAAATTCAGTTTACTGTATTTATAAATAAAATGTTAAAGTGTAATATTTGATACTACAAGTATTATTGTACAATGCTCATTTTTTTTATATCAGCTTTAAAAGAATATCTCCTCTGTCTTGTCCTTTAAGAATTAATATTAGAGAACTGAATATTTGTGTTTTCTGAAAAACATTGTTTGAAATCATATTAGTTTACTGGATATCTAAGTTGTCATCTTTCTTATTTTGGTTCTTTAAGGAATATATCTTTTCATATTAGAATCTGTTGACGTAAGATTATCGGATCTTAAGGAATTATGACCAAGTGTAGTAGCCATATACTTTGCAGTGGTAACTTCTAAAGCTGTATTTCAAATGATTTAATTTCCTTTTACTGTTCAAAATGCATGATAAATTTAGTGGAGCCACTTTTTCTTCAATACTGTGAAGATATGGCTCCTTGTTCATGGAAGAAAAATATACATTTTGTAGATAATATCATGGTTCTGTCAATCATACTCATACATGGAAATTACTTGTTTTCAATATTCCAAAACTATATATATATATTATTCATAAAGACTCAGTTGTGCAAAATATCAACTGAATAAAATGTTTATAGATTCCTTGAGATCTCCTAGTAATTGCTCATTTGATTTCACTATAAGTATGCTATATTGCACTCACTCAGCTACTTATGGGCCCATTCCCACTGAATTGACATGTGAATCCAATTTTGTGTGAGGTATATAAAGGTCTGTAATTGCCATAGACAGCAAATTGAACTGAGATGTCATAAGGAAATAAACTCATGACATTGAAGAAGGAATGTTTTTTTTGGATGCAGCATTGGTGGTATGAGGGTCCAAGAAACTAGCTGATGTATATATACATCCACCCTGTGAGTTCAGTGTATGAGCGGTGGAATGCAGAAATGGATAAAGCAGATTTTCCTTCTATCCAACATGCTCTCCAATTTATGATCTTTTTCTATCCCAACAATTTTAGAATAAAATTGTTTGTTACTACTTTCTGCACTTTTTGTGAATTGAAGTCTTGGCTTCCAGTGGGACTGTAACTTCTAGATGGAAGGTGCCATTTCACCAAATTATTCAGTTCTATTCTATACGGAACAGTAATATAATTTATAGACTTCACTTCTTGAAGCAAGATAACTCATGACTGGGATACTGCGCGGCATGGTAAGGAGTATACAGTAGATTATCTACTTTCATATAACACACGTAATGGCTTACTGATCATAGACCATAATTAGTGGATCACTTACTGTTTTAGGTATGTGAAGGCTGTTTGTAGACACACTGTGGTTTATGAGTTACAGCTGATGAAGAAGAAGAAGAAAATGTACTCGATTGGTAAAGGGCTTTTCGTTTCTATCCCATTTGCTGTGTTTTGCCAATGTCCTGGTGTATGGACTACCATACACAATGTCCAGGCCACCATTCTTACATAGGGATTGCTACCATGCTCCCCAATACTCAGATGTAGTGTGGGCAATGTGCTGAAGAAATTAATGGTGACCATTTGATATGCTGATGTATAGTATCATCTTGGTTGCACAGTATTAATCACATCTTGGGCTTAGTTGTGAACTTCACATCTGGCATTATGTCCATCATTTAGAACTTTAATGAAACTTTAGGACTGAAACCCTAAAGCCATGAATGCCAGCCATCAGCTTTCTTGGTATATTTAGCATTGAAGGCTGGATGAACAACAAAGTAACAAACCATTATATGAATCAGGCTAATCAATTTTTGTTTCACATGGAGGAGGTCAAGGTTTAATGGCAACCTGGAGAAACTTTGTACATATAGTTGTACCATCCTAACTGTGAAAAGTGGTAGTATTGGTTTATTTCAGCTAGTATGGACTTATTTGGCCCACTGATATGATAAGAGAGCCAATTTTGACATTATGGGTAATGCTTGCATTGATTGAGTTATATGCTCTCACATTATCTTTGATCAAGTTTGTACGAAGTAACAGGTTTTTCTGGCTTGAAGAAATATAGATTTAAGAAGTAGTTTTGCAGTGTTATTTATTTTTGCACCAGTTAAACAACAGAAATACCCTTTAGTGGATACAAGTTTTATGTACACAGTGACTTCAGTGTATGGAAGTACAAAATGTAATGATTCTATGTATTCTTCACAGAAAAATATAAAACAAGTCTTAGTAAGCTTATCTAGAAATGTATAACACATGATTACATAAAGTATTAATAATTTTGTGAGAAATTGATAGAAAATAGAACTTAAAAAACAAAAAACATATGGATGTTAACAGAAAGTATGACGTGAGAAGCATATCTTCAGTAAGGTCCATATTTTATGTTTAACAAAAAGATAATGTTCTGTTATCATATAATCCTATGTGTACAAAAGGGTTCAAAGTGCACAAGCCATGACTTTTTACAGAGTGAAATTTAACAAGATATTATGTATTTGAAGTGAGTTACCAACTATTAATATGCTAAATTAGCAGCCGGTTGTGATAGACGAGAGTAAATACCAAATACGGTATACAAAAAAATATAGATCTGGATTTTGGAACTTCTTGAGGTTATGTAAGTGCAATACTCAAACTGTACAAAAGTATTTTTGTTCTTTCAATGAACATCACCTTGCACTCAAAGCTAGACTGACATAGTCACTTCACAGACATATCTTGAGTACAAATATCTTAGTAATTCAACTGATTTTTTTGTTTACAACAGACTTGTACACTTTACTAAGAATTTGTCACATTTTTTATAGGTACACTTATTAAATTTGGAATTATACTCAATATTTTTTTCTCCAATACGGGGTTTGTTTAATGGACCATGCACTTTCTGTTGATTAAGAGGGAAAGAAGATACAGATATAAAGATCTTCAATCATTAGTTAAGTGATTAATTAGAATGGAATATTTTGAATTGGCATTACCCGACCATTCAAACACAGCTTAGACTTATATAACTGTTTTACAGACATGGTTGTAACTATGTGATGACAGTGTACACATCAGTTTTGTGTTAAACAATCAAATAGCGTTTTATTATTCAAAAACAAACAAACTATAAATCTACATAAAATATTTTAATATTTTCAACCTGAATGTCGGTTTATGCAACACGTGTGCTAAACAACCAAGCCAAGAGACCTCAAGGTTCGGGCAAAGTCATCCCTTATTTAGATCTGCTGGTCAGAGGAAGGATAACCAATTAGAAGCCAGTGTCACTACATTTAACCAAATAGCACGATTGACTGTCATATATATATTACACCCCAACTGCTGCAAGTGCAGAGAATATGTTCAGCTTTGTATCTTGGCTCAAACCTTGGACCTTCTGATCCACAGCAGCACAAGCTCTCAACTAGGCCATACCTGGCCAACATATGAAAAGAAGAAACTCTTTAATGACCTAAACATTTTCTATAATATAAATTTTAGTTGTTTTCACAATTATTTTCTTGTGTTTCCTCACTAATGCAGTATTTTTAAATATTTTCTTATAAGTTTTAGCAAAGGTGTGAATGATCTATAGATAGTTGTGTTGTTCGTAGTTTTCAATTTTACTTTTCCTACGTGAGAGAAGTTTGAGGAGAGAAGCTAAACTAAGTTTATTTCTCTAGCAATGGCATATCAGTACTGTTGGTATAAAAGAATTAACTCTTCAAACGAACAGCTCCTCACTGCTACACAACTTGAGAATGTACACACTAGGCTCTGTTTTAGGGTTGGGTATGGTTATGGTATGCAATTGGTTTATATCTTTTGAATTTACTAAAATGAAATATAGTTCAATTATCACTGGACAAATTAGCTTTCTTAAAGAAGTTATGAATAAAGATTGGATCAGTAAAACACATTGATTTAATGATGGTTCAGTTTTATTGTTCTACAAAATCAGAAACCTAGAGTTTAAGGAAGGCAAACTTTTATTCCTCAAATGTGGATTGAAAGTCACGTTTTCCGTCTGAAATACGGTGTAAAGATCAAGAAATTGCAATAGAAAACTAATGCGTAATGACTTCATCAAACACTAATGAGTGAAAGTTGTCATACTGAAAGTAAAGAACTCTTCAAGATTTTATTCCCATGTTTGTTTTTAAATGGACCAAGCATATAGTCTATTAGTTTACGTGCGGGGTTAAAGATTAAAAGGTTCAGAATCTAAGACATGATACCGTCGAGCACTTTCAACTGTGGGTGTGTTATTAAAGTGATAGTCAATCCTGTTATTCGGTTCAAAACAGTGTTGGACTCGAGGGTCAGAAAACGCCATTTTTCATACTTCTATCTGTCTTGAAGAGAAGTTTGAAGGGTTTTAATTTTGATATTTTATCTTTGTGTTGGGTAACCTTATACTGTCCACTCTTTATTTTCTGTAGGAGTATAATGTTCGCTCGTCCCCCGGTGGAACAGCGATATGTCTTCGGATTTGCAACTCTACAATCAGGGGGTTCGATTCCTCTCGGTGGACACAGCAAATAGCTCGATGTGACTTTGCTATAACGAAACATACGCTAATCTTGGTTCATAGAACTTGGAAAAGCTCTTTTGTCGGCGAATTTTTCAGGCTGTCTGCTTTTTCTCTTGTCATTATTTCAATATTAAGAACCGGCTATACCTGAATCCTTAGGATCCCTGAGCCCACACGTACGCATAAGTGAGGCGCCGTTCAGTTTGAAAATCCCAATTTTTGTTTTAAAATATATTAAGACTTTCTGTCTAACGAAACTATAGCATGTCTTGGAGTAACAACTGAATATTTTATATATGTTCTGGGTGTTTTATTTGTAACAATTTGTGGTACTTAAATGAAACAGTAGAAAAATCACAATTTTAGGGCATCAAACATTTCGGAAGGTAAGTCTTCTTTCTAAAGGGTTGAGTTTGTTTGTTTGTTATGGATTTCGCGCAAAGCTACACAAGGGCTATATACGCTAGCCGTCCCTAATTTAGCAGTGTAAGACTAGAGGGAATGCAGCTAGTCATCACCACCCACCGCTAACTCTTG